CACATCTCTGTGCTCTGCTCCCCTAACTCCGACAGCCCCGCGCTCTTCTCTCCCTCCCTGACACCAACAGCCCCGCGGTCTGCTCTGCTCTCCTAACACCGACAGCCCCGCGCTCTTCTCTCCCTCCCTGACACCAACAGCCCCGCGGTCTGCTCTGCTCTCCTAACACCGACAGCCCCGCGCTCTTCTCTCCCTCCCTGACACCAACAGCCCCGCGGTCTGCTCTGCTCTCCTAACACCGACAGCCCCGCGCTCTTCTCTCCCTCCCTGACACCAACAGCCCCGCGGTCTGCTCTGCTCTCCTAACACCGACAGCCCCGCGCTCTTCTCTCCCTCCCTGACACCAACAGCCCCGCGGTCTGCTCTGCTCTCCTAACACCGACAGCCCCGCGCTCTGCTCTCCTAACACCGCACATCTCTGTGCTCTGCTCCCCTAACACCGACAGCCCCACGCTCTGCTCTCCTAACACCGCACATCTCTGTGCTCTGCTCCCCTAACACCGACAGCCCCACGCTCTGCTCTCCTAACACCGCACATCTCTGTGCTCTGCTCCCCTAACACCGACAGCCCCACGCTCTGCTCTCCTAACACCGCACATCTCTGTGCTCTGCTCCCCTAACACCGACAGCCCCACGCTCTGCTCTCCTAACACCGCACATCTCTGTGCTCTCCAGCCCTGACCCTGCGCTGCTCCTGCGGGTCACCGTGGGAGAAAAGCAGTGATAAAACCTTCCGTGCTGTCACCTGTGCTGTGCAAGCTGAGCGCCCCGAAGGAGTCTTTTATATAGAAAAAATGTACAGAAATTGTGGAAACTCTAATTTTTTATTATTAATAATAATAGTAACAAATTTAATAGGTCTCTAGGCGTGGAGGCTTTGGCTCTGCGTAGTCAGACCTACACAGCTAACTCCCAAGTGTCCCAAGGTTTGTGGTCAGCACCTACAAATGCTCTAACTCCACTTCAGCCCAACCAGCACACAGTGATCATTCAGGGTCATCATTTTGTGCCATAATTTACTAGTCTTACGATATCTTAATTCTTCATTTGTGCTACTGCTTCTGTTGTTGTTTTCCAGGAATCAAATTGGCCTAGCATTAGGAAAATAACGCTTGGAAGGCAAGGTGACAAAAAATATTCCTAATTTTAGGACACAGTAGCCTAGCGTGACTCTAGCTAAACAGCAACCCTTGAAAATATGGTAAGGGTATGGAAAAGTAGTAGTAAAAGTGAAATAAAGCTTTATAGAATACAGTCTGGAAACACTTGGCACTGAAAGGAAAAGCTGTTCCACAAGGAAATACATGGGAATTTCAGTGAAGTCGAGGAGTTGGACTTGGATGACCACTGTGGTCCCTTCCAGCTCAGGATATTCTGTGATTCCATAGTGTGGTGCTCCACACACTACAGAATCCACAGCACCACAAGCTCCTCGTGGACCTAATGATGCCTTCTGAACCAGAGGCTTCTACACTCCACAGATCCATCATTAGACATTCCTCCTTCAAGCATCATAGGGGCTATTTGAAATTACTCTTTCCAAGACTGGGGATGTACTGTGGGTCTTTATTTTTGCTTCTTGGAGCATTCCTTGTGTACCATCAAGTAATTTTTGGCACAAGACCTGAGTTTAAAATAAAGTATATGTGCAAACTTGTTTATTGATGGGTTTGTGTAGATCTGGTGTAAGTAGATACAATCTCTAAAGGCAGAAAAAGCTCTCCTGTGTCAGGACTTTCAGAAATTAAATGTTCCAACAGCTAGTTTAGTACCCAAGGATAATGTAAAATACTTGACTGAAGAAATACTCGAATTAGAAATAATATTGTAATATTAATGGAAGCTCTGTAAGGATGATGTCCTACCTTCTCCCTTGACTGCAAGTAGTAAGATTAATAGCTGTACTGGAATAACTCCTTGATAATTATGCAGTAAAAATACACTTCTCTCACAGACATCCAATCCCCGGAACATAGTTGCAATAATCAAAAGATTTTGTGGTAACTAGGACAGTAGCTCGTTCTTCAGTAGCTGGCAATGGAAATGAAGTTTCACAGCCAGTCTGAGGTTTTACCAAACCACAGTCACTGCAAGTGCATTCTTCCACTGGATACATTAATGTTTCCCTTTGAAGTGAGTGTCTAATTCCTTCTGTGTTCACTCTGCTCTCAGTATTAGCCTTGAGAATATTATTCAGCTCCACAGAGGAGTCTGTAAATACATAGAAGTTAATTTAGTACATTCATCATGCTAAACCAAACACACAGTTATTACAGATCCACATTTCATTGTGTTCCAACTATGTTCCAACCTTAGTGAAAGTTATACAGTGAAAGCTATAAATTGTAGTTACATGTGATAATCTTTTGTTCTATGACAACATAAGCCCTAGATATAATCCCTACACTTCAAGATAAGCATTGCAGTAATTAAACACCTATTTTCTAATCAGTTATTTGTTGGCTGAACACTTACAGTATTTGTAAAAGGTAAAATAACTTGTTTTTTCATCTTCACAAAATATACCACAAAAGTAAAAGGTAAAATAACTTGTTTTTCATCTTCACAAAATATACCACATATGCTCTTCACAGACTACAATATTAAACTATTTACTGTCTTATAAGATGGAAAGCTAATACTGAATGTGTACAGTTCCTTTCACGTTCAATGAGAAGATGAAACCCTTGTAAAGATTTTTGCTACTGAGTGTTCATAAATGTTGTCTCACACACCAGCAAGTGAGTCAGGTATGAACATGCAATAACACAGTCCTGAGAGGATCCAGAACCAACAAAGAGAAGTTGGTGCTTTTGCAAGTCACTGTCTGGATATTGTGTTCCCTAATAACTGATAACTTCATGGAGACTACTTGAGGAATACAAAACAATCCAACAAAGGCAGTTATCAGAGTCTGATTATAATAAAAATATTGTCTGTATAATGATATGCAAAATTTGCACATCATAAGTAAATTGTACAATGATCTAAAATTATCACATAAAAAATCTTAGCTATTCACCTGTGTTTTCCAGTCTTTCTTTGAGTTGCTTTAGGTGCTTCCATTTAAACAAGACCATTAAGGTAAACAGAGTGAGGACCAAAATTACTCCTAAGACCAAACAGGTCCAAACGATTCCACTCGAATCAGTACCTTACGGAACAAAAGAGATGTGTTAATGAATCGTAAGCAAGAAGCAATGTCAAGTACACACATCCAACATATAAAACTTGTGTGTAAAGCACAAAATGAAAATGCCCAAGACATCCACAGAGCAAAACTTACCCTGAGTAGGTCTGGCAGGACGGCGGCGGCGCGCTGGAACAGCGGAGATGGCAAGGGGTGCAAGAGAGCAGCAAGTTATCAAAGTACTCATTTGTGGGGCAATGTGCCATCAGTTGTGGAACTAGAAAGCCACAGAAGCTGTAGAAGAGTGAAGATCATCTACAAAGGACTTCTCAGTTCTCAGTTTTAGCAAATCTAAGAACAGCTTAGCAATAATGGACGGCGGCGGCGCGCTGGAACAGCGGAGATGGCAAGGGGTGCAAGAGAGCAGCAAGTTATCAAAGTACTCATTTGTGGGGCAATGTGCCATCAGTTGTGGAACTAGAAAGCCACAGAAGCTGTAGAAGAGTGAAGATCATCTACAAAGGACTTCTCAGTTCTCAGTTTTAGCAAATCTAAGAACAGCTTAGCAATAATGGACTTCCATCACAGCTCCACAGCGCTGGATGGTGTTTCACTGGAAGGATTGAACTCTGAGGTCCCCAAGAATTTACTGTTCCTTTTTTTGGCATTTCACAATTGTAGAAAAGCTGAACAGCTGCGCCAAGATCATTTTCAATGTAAATTTTGTCTGAAACAGAAAATGGTTATTTATAGTAGGCATTTCTTAAACAGGTGCTGAACATTACAAACTGTAGGGAAGAAAGAAGTTCTCCAAACAGGAGTTCATCAGAATCATTCTTGTCTCTAAAATCTTGTGGGTTTTTCCCATGGCAATGGGCAACAGTAATTATGTGTTCTTGTAATCTGCAAAATATGCAACACTTACTTTTTGCCCTAGTCCAAGGAACATAAATGAAAGACATGAAGGCAGGAGAAATAGCAGTAGGAAGACATGACCAGTTTGGTTTCTAGGTTTGCCACTGACTCACTCTGCAACTTCAGACAACTTCCATGGTACCTGTTTCCCTGGTAGACAATAACATTTAGAATACAAAGCTGATGAAAGTTCACGACGTGGACTTGTGGGGTTTTTTCCAGTTCACACTGCGTTTCTGGATGATCTGGGGGGAAAAAAGGGGAAAAAAATGCCATTTCAGTGAGGTGTAAGTTTTTTTCCAGTTCACACTGCCTTTCTGGATGATCTGGGGAAAAAAAGGGGGCAAAAAATGCCATTTCAGTGAGGTGTAAGATACACATTCTATTTCTAAGCTTGAAGCTCATGTGGTTAAATGAACGTTGCTTTTCTCAGGCAGGTTAAGAAAGTAACATTTGTGGGAAAGTAACTGAAGCCTTGACATGTCCAGTAAAAAGAGCTCAAAGCTGCTGCTCTTGCTGAGGATGTCACTGGTAATACAGAGCAGTTCAGAGAGGGAGTGAAAGCAAGTACACAATGGTAACTTTGTACAGTTTTATGTCTTCCAACAAAACACATTCTTCCCCTTTCCATAACCCTCTGCACATGTTTTGACAAAGCAACACTGACAGTAGTTTGGAAGCAATTGCATAGACCAGATAATGTTTTAAAACCCCAATATATATTCTCAAGGCACTGTAGACTCACTGCTGTTATGTGGAACATCTTTAGGATGATCTATTGATGCTTCCCAGTAGATGTAACTCAAATATTGGACTTCTGGGAAAAATACTAAAGGGAGGAATGTAAGACTTGACATTACTTTGTGAGACAACTATCAAGGAAAGGAACTAAAGGATACAACTCCTATCATAGGTATATTATTAGAGTATTCATGACTGCTTTACTTTTTGCTATTAAATTATTTCCTCTCTTCTAGTCCAGAAGAAATGCATCTGGTTTTACTTATTGGCAAAGGCTTTTCTGGTATACACAAAATACCTCTCTCCAAACCAGCAGGTTGTCATTGAGCTTTAGTCTTTCTGCTGTGTGATATGCAGAAGTATTAACATGATGATTCCTAAAATATTTTGCCACTCAAATATAATGAGATATATTCCAAATCAGACTATTTTTGCACAGAAACTATTCATGTCTAATTAGTAAGACTGGTCTGTAGGTCACCAGAGATGTGGTTAGAGTTTATAGAGCTAAGCTGATTACATGTCTTGGTGTTAGTGAAAGGGACTCTCCTGCTCTTCACTTGATGTACTCTGAAGCACAAGGAAGGGCTCTAGGGCTTACCTGACCACATGGCAAGCAGCTTTAATTTATTAATCCAATCAGTTCATGGAGTTTTAATTCCTAGGGCCTGGAAAAAAAGATGAACAGCTGATTACCCAATGGGGATGTGAAACTAAGTCCACCACGGACATACATGTTTGGCAAACTAATGCACCAATGTCTTCACTTGGAAAGTCCTGTCAAGCCCACAGAAGACATTCATTTGTGTCTAGTTATTTGAGATTGTATGTATGGGATCATAAGATACTGTGGAGATGTGCTTTCACTCTCAGTTTGCCAGAAACAGTTTTCCTCTGTGGCTCATTAGAGTTCAAACATATTTATCATAACACCCAAAGTAAATAGAAAGAAGTCTCATATTTTCAATGAAACTCTAGAAAACTTCCCCCCACGTAAGAGGTTAAATACAGCTCATTTCATCAGAGCTCTGAAGAATGATGGCAACTCTTACAATGACAATTTTCCTCCTATTTCCCAAAGCTTACAGCCTTTACAGGTAAGCTATTTTTTTCTTTAATAGATGTGTCCCAGAACAGGGATAAGCTATTGTTTTCTTTAATAGATGTGTCCCAGAACACAAATCCTTGAATATTAAGAAATGCATTTTCCAAACACAGGAAATTGGGGAGCAAAAGGGTCTCTACACATTTTCCAAACATAGGAAATTGGGGAGCAAAAGGGTCTCTAATGTGCCACTCATGCAAACAACCACCATACATGTCACAACCTTTTCTCCTTAGCTACATACAGTTTTATTGATGCTATGTAATGACAAAACAGAGGCAACAAAGGGTTAGAAAAACTATGAGGAATTACAGTCGTCATGGCCTGTTGCCTTTGTTTTCTGCACATCTTGACCTTCAAAAGCCCTACTTCAGGGTGTGAGAGCAAGCACATAATCAGAAGATCTTGCCAAGCAATAGTTCCCAATGACAGACCTTGCTGCAATCTAAAACACACATTATTTCCAAATCTCTGTCCAGGAGTAAGGAAGATATTTTCTATCTTCACAAGATTCTTGTGCAACCTTCATTTTTGAATAATTTTTATAGAAGGAGGTTAATCTAAAAAAATAAAAATAAAAAAAATTCTAAGCACGTTGTTGGGAGAAGTGTATTACACCAAATGGCTTTAATATGAGAGATGTAATACCTGAATTCAGAAGCTGCTTATAAAATAGAATATTGGACTCAGCCAACAAATGAAACAAAACCCAGAAGCATTAAGCATAAATTCATTAAGTGACAGTAAGATAAAGATATTGTTACTTAGAAACTGCAGTTATGTTATGTTAATAATTTATCCACTGCCTTGTATCACACACATTAAGTCCTCTAAGCAGAACACTGTGTTGTTCTGTGTAGACTGTGCAAACACACACATAAAACAAGGAGATGACTGGAATGATGGTTCTCCTACCGTGACATTTACCTTTAGGGAATAATTAATGTATGGCTTATGTACCTGCAAAGTTTCAGTTCAGCTTTTTCAGAGCTTGCATTCCACACAGTTACGTGTTCATGCTAATAAATGCTTTCTCCTTGTCATTTGATTTTGTTCCAAAAGGATGACAGAAACTTGCAGAGCTGTACAAAATAGGAAAAGATTTTTCAAACACAATGATCAGTCATTTAACCATAAATCCACAAGGTGTTGCCAGGGAGGTATTTCTGCAGTTACATTACTGTAAGTTTTGTTCAAAAATTCCCCAAGATATCCTCTAAGAATAATACAATTCAGACAAGATGAACTGACCCACTGGAGCTGGTATGATGTGGAAAGTAATAGGAAATAATCTTAAGAAGAAAAGTGTCAACTGCAGAAACAACAGGGAAAAAAATGGAAAACCAGTTCTCAGATTTGCTTCTAAAACATTTCAGTCTGACTCAGGAGTGACACCTGGGGACAATTTATAAAGGTCAGTATGACACAAACTTCTTTGCTCTCCTGATGTGATTCTCAACCTCTGGCAACTCCTCCCTGAACTTCAAATCTACTTTGGGAAGCAGTGAAACATCTGTTGGTGGGTTAGAAGAATAACTTTAGCATAGTGTCAGTTCTAGTAGGGTATCAAATTACTGAACAGACTTCAAGAAATAATTTTTACTGGTGACAGGAGCACAGGTTGATGACAGCACAGCACAGCCCAGGAGAGAGCACTTTGGAGTTGTACACACATACACACACTGGATTTACAACCTTCTGTCATGTGAGCAGAACACCTACAGCTACAGAATTACAGAATCAATCAGGTTGGAAAAGACCTCTGAGATCATCAAGTCCAACCTAAGACCTAACACTACCATCTCAACTAGACCATGGTACTAAGTACTGTGTCCAGTCCCTCCTTAAACAATCCCCTTGGATGTTGCTTTGGCAGAATACAGGCACAGCCAGCACTGAGCATCCAGCCAGAGCCTCTCCTGCCACAGACCCAAATCTGACTCTTGGTTTCTTTAAACGTCTGGAGAAACCCAAGACTTCCAGAAATCCATGTCAGTGCCCATTTCGAACACGTTAAATTGGTATTATGTGACAGAAACCAGTCACTTGAAGAAGGTTAGGAGAATTGTCTCTTTCACTATTTAATTTGAAAAAAGCTGTTGTGAATGTCAACACCCAAATACTAAAATGAAAACTCTGAATGGAAAATCAAAGTAATACTATTATGCCAATAATTAAACATAAAGATTGAAATTCCTCTGCCACAGAGCAGTAACTTAAGGTCTATTTCCCACCCATAACTTCACAACAAAGTTTCATTCTGGCACTGCTCTGGGGCTCCTCTGTTCATGCTTGTGCCAGCTTTTTGCCTGACTGTACTTCAGAAATTCTGCTGGCATAATCACATGGCACTTACCAAGAGAAAGAGGGTTTTCTGCTAGGACTATTACATTCCCTTCACAAACAACATTAGCTAGGCTGACAAAGGAATTCTTCTGGCTCTATAGTTGCTTCTACATTGGTGGGTTTTGTGCTGGCACAGCTCTTTTTTTTTTTTTCACTCAC